TAAAGTTTAGTTTTTGTTTAGTCTCTGTGTGTGTGTGTGTGTGTGTGTGTGTGTGTGTGTGTGTGTGTGGAACAGGGATGTGAAAACGGCAGTTCGGCTCGAAGCAGCGGGGAGGCTGGACAAAGCTGTCGTCTGTTGGGCTATAGCACAACCGCTTTCTTCCATCCCCTCATGGCCCCCGGCTGTCCTAGCCGGCCTGAGGAAGTCGGGGGCCCCTGGGTTAATGCTCCGCTGCCGGGGTTCTGCACCCAGTGTGGGTCACAGCTGGGGAACTAGAGTTGGAATAGCGGGGAAGGGTGGGGGCGGTGGCACAGCTGTTGGGGGGCGGCCGGGGGCTGGAGGACGGGGGGCTCCAGACTGGGGTTAAGAGGTGCTGGCAGAACAAAGGTGAGCTGTCCTGGCTCCCAGGTGCTGCTCAACACGGGTGAAGCGATTTCCCCTCCTGTCCGGTCTTTCGAGCCCCCCCAAGCTGTTCGTCAGGGCGGCGAAGCTGGCTCCGGGTCCCTGCTCCGCGCGAGATCCGCACCGCCGGTTTAGCGCATGTGGTTAATGCTGGTTTCGGGGGCCCCTGCGAGGGAAGGAGCAGGGGTCTGAAAGACCTGGGGGAGCTGGTCTGGGGCCAGCCTGCGTGATCAGTCACACCATGTACCTTGTACTCGCCCAGCCCCCGCGCTGCACCCTGCTCTGGGGAGCTCCGGAGCAACGCTCCGTTACTGCACTGGAACGTTCTGGGCAACGCTCCCTGCTGTAAATCTCTGGGGCTTCAGGGCTGCAAGGTAGCGTCCCGGTGCTCGGACTCCGGGCTGCTGAACCGAGGCAGGCTGGGCCATTAGCCCTTTCCTCCCTGGGGCGGTCTCCCCTGGGTTTGTCTCCTAGCACAGCCTTGCAGTGGGCTCCTGGCAACCAGCGCGTCTTGCCAGCCCAACCAAACCCCTCTTGTATTGACTGACGTCACATTAGCCACTCGGCAGAGCAATCGCCCGGGATCGACTGGCTTCTCCTGGGGCTGGTTCCCCTGGTGACCTTGGCCGGGTCACACACCGGCTTTTTGGCCCCGTTTCCCCAGCTGTAGAGCAGGGCTCGTAAAACCGTATCTGCTCACCAGGGCGCTAAGGAGGGGCTGACCTGGTGGCATCTCTCGGGGTTTATGGCTGGGGCGGTGGCTGGGCCCTGAACGCCCTGGCGCGACTCACGCTCTCTACCCGTGGCCATGCCGGTGCTGCCATGGAGCTCTGCCTGGGGCGGTGCAAGGCGCCCGCTCTGATCTCGCTGCGTGAGCCTCCAGCTGCGTTCATCGTACGCGCTGCTGGCTGGCGCTGGAGGGTGGCGGTGAAATTACCAGGCCAGCTCGGCGGTGAAATGGGTCCAGCGCCCCTTCTGGGGCTAGCCCAGCGTCTCCTGCTCCGTGCAGCTGTTCTGCTGGCCTGGGTACACTGAATCCTGCCTCAGCGCGGGGGGACGGACTCGCTGGCCTCTTGGGGGGGCCCTCCCAGCCCTCCACTTCGGTGATGCACAGGGCGTCTTTTTGTGGGGCCCACCCCCAGTGGCTGTTCTCTGGAGCGTGTCCACGCGTGCCCAGACTGGGGGGACAAGCCACATGCACACCTGCTGCATTACAAGGTGTGGGGCAGTGCTGGAGGCTGGGTGGAGACGCAGCAGGTGGGTAGCATGGGGGGTTGGGCACAGGGCTGGGAGCAGGGGGAGATCTGGCTTCGATTCCTAGCTCTGCCATTGCCTCTCTGGGGGACCTTGACCAAGTCACTGACTCTGCCTCAGTTTCCCCAGCTGTGAAACATGCCTTGGTTTCCCAGTTGTGAAACGAGGCTCGGTTTCCCCAGCTATGAAACGGGAAGACTCGCCTTGCCTCGGTCTAGTCAGGCTGCGAGCTCTTTGGGGCAGGGGCTATCTCTCACTGCATTTGTACAGCGCCTTGCGCGCTGGGGCAGCGAGCTTGGTGGGGGTGCTACCGTAATGCACCCAATAAAGAACAGGAGAGTCCAGCTCTGCCGGAGGCTGCCCCGCCCCGCAGCCGGGGGAGGAAGTGGGTGGGGTGAGGGCGGCGAAGGGGTGGAGGCAGGGTGGCCCTGCCTCGGAGCACCGCAAACCATGGACAGCTCCCTCTGAGGCAGGGCTGGGCTGGGTGGCACGGCTGGCTTCGTTCTGCCAAGCAACTCGCAGAACCGGCCCGACTCGCGGAGGTGCCAGCAGCGCGGTGTCATCGGGGAGGTGAGTACGGCTCCGGCTGGCTTTGCCCGTCAGCTCCGTCACTTTCCCAGCCTTCTTGGCATCCTGCCGGGCGGCAAAGCACCAGCCTCCCAGCCGGAGGGGCGCTTCTAGGAGGGTGTCCTCTCCGCATCCCTAAAAGAGCCACTGGCCTCCCCCGGCCTGGAGGAAACCACCCTGCCCTTGCTGGCCACAGCTTCCAAGGGAGGCAATTAACCTTCTTTTCCTCCCCAGGCTTCCTGGGGAAACGCGGGGGGGGGACCTGCAGCTGGGTAGGCGCTAGGGGCTGGGGGGGGCAGAGGCGTGAGGCTGATGGTGTCGTGATGCTGAGGTATTGTGCCCCATTCTGTCCTAATGGGGGACACGGGGTGGACCCCAGCGTGATGGGAGAGGGGTCCTGCTCTGGGACGAACCAGCGGCTGTTCTTGTTTATTTGCATTGAGATCGAACTTCCTCCTCACCCCCTCGGCTGCGCGTGAAAACACAGACAAAGGGAAGACAGGTCTGGTTTCTGAGCCCCCCCTTCTGCTGCCTTCCCTCAAACACACGCAGGCCTGGGAAATGCCCCCCTGCCCCCCGTCTCCCCTGCTTCGAACCCGCTTTCTCCGCTCGCTGGGGGCCGCGATGAACTTTCTCCAGCAGCCCGATAAGAGCCGCTCCGGTTTATGGCTCCGGGGCAGAGTCCGGGGGGGAGGCTGTAAATCGAAGGTGAAGGTTGGCTTGTATTTAAACCCTCTATAAAAGGCAGGAAGGGTTTAAAATAGGAGCAGGTGAGGAGGGAGCCGTACCAGCTGCTGCTGCAGGACCGGGGACATCAGGTGGAGCCCAGTGGCGCAGGGCGAGCGCCCGGGCCCAGAGCTGTGCCAGGAGCCTTCTGCTAATATTTGCCGTCGCTCCTGACCTCCGCCCTGGCCCCCAGGGCTGCGTTTGCCCCTGGTCAAAGCAGGGATCCGGCTGCGGCCCTGCTGGGGTGGAGCCCGCCTCGCGGGACTGGCTGTGGGCCCTGACCCTCAAAACCATCTAGGCTCCTAACTTTCCCTGGAGGCTCTGGGCATTGGGGGGGGATTGTGGAGGCAGAGACCGGGGGCCGCTCGGTTGCCTCTGACACTGCCCCACTGGGCCCGGCAGGGCCAGTGGGGTTCAGGGTCGAGCCCATGTGGCTGGCGAGAGCTTGGGTGCCCGGCTGGGAGCAAAGTGCCCTGTAGCCCCCCTTTCCCCTAAAGCAGGGGGGCTGGGCCCTTGGCACGCTGGCCCTGGGCTCACTGGAACGCCCTGCAGCCCGGGCCCCGAGCGTCCACAGCGCCGGGCCCGGAGAAGGGCTAGGGGGGCTGGGGAGTGCGGCTCGGCCGGGGGCGAAGCCTTAGATCGTCTCCCATGAGCTGGGACCAGCCAGCGCTGGCTGAGGGGGGCTGGGGCTTCCCTTCCGAAGGGAGGAGTCTCCCCTCGCTCAGTGACTATGCCATGACCCGGCCCAGGCGGGGGGTGGAGGAATCCGGACACCTGGGTTCTGTTCAGGAGCAGGCCCAGGTGCGTGTGGGGCTGACTTTGTCCCCCTGGCCCTAAGGAGGGGTGCTGGTAGCTGTGGGGCACCCCCAAGCTGCCCCTCCCCTTACAGCCATATGGCTGTGCCGCTAGATGCCCCAGGGCAAACGGTTCCTGCGGGGCGGCTTTGGAGGGATAGGGTGGGGCAGGGAGCAGGCTGCGGAGCTGGGCAGGGGGGCACGGGAGTGGCGGGGAGAACAGGGCCCGATCTGCACTGAGGCCCCCCCCCCTCCCGCCCTCAGGGAAGCAGCAAGGGAAAAGCCAGCGGGGGGGGAGCCCTGCAAGCCAGGAGATGGCCCAGCCGGTTCCTCCTCTCCCCAGCTGGCATCCTGCTCCCGCCGGCTTCCTGGCCTGATTCACTCCTTTCCTGGCAGCCTCCCCGGGGCTGCGGCGTTAACCCCTCCGGCGCTGGGCCCACCTGCTGGGACGGGAGCTTGCCCTTCCAGCGGGACCTCGCTTGGTTCTGAGCCCTTGGGGTTCGCCTGCTGCTGGGGCTTTTCCCTCGGGGCCCAGCCCTGTACCCCCCTGAGATCCCAGCTCGTCTTCTCACGCTCAACAAGGCAGCTCCGCATCTGGCTGCTGCACAGTCAAAAGCAGGGGACTGTGGGGCACCAATGACACAAAGAACCCAGGTGTCCTGCCTCCTAATCCCCTGCTTGACCCACTCCCCTCCCCGTGCCAAGCAGGGAACCCAGGTGTCCTGCCTCCTAATCCCCTGCTTGACCCACTCCCCTCCCCGTGCCAAGCAGGGAACCCAGGTGTCCTGCCTCCTAATCCCCTGCTTGACCCACTCCCCTCCCCGTGCCCAGCCGGGAACCCAGGTGTCCTGCCTC